CTCATGGCTCATGGTACAATTTATTTGATGTTATTGTAGGACTCCGTTAAAGCGGCATCACAGCGTCCTGGATTTGCAGGAATTAATTATTTCTTTTACAATAGTAAACAAGAATCACGATAAGGAATAGCCTTAGTTGCTATCGAACAACTTGGGATCGGGATAGAGGTTCAAATCAGGAAAAAGGGGGAGATAGCCGTGAGAAAGCGGGTGGTGAGGGGGGAGGGGCCGCGCCCCCGGCGCGCCGAGCAACCGGATTTGCTTTCACTTTCTTGGCTCCCGGAAGAGTGCGGTGTTCGACCTTGACACTCGCAACCTGTTCACCTACTCCTACTGAAGCTGAATGAGCTCACCCAACTTGTGATGGTGAACTGACTCATGCGTACCTCTGAATGAACTTACCCAACCTGCGATCCAGGCAACGCTCACACTCTTGGCAACGCTCGCAATTAACTGCCGGCGGACAGGGCCTCCACATTTCGTGATTAATGAATTCGATACGGTGAAAATTTAATGGAAATATTTAAAATAATATTGCAACTTTCATTGACCAACTGAGCTGCGGCCAGAGCTCATACTCGTCGGGAGGAATTACTGTCCAAGAAAGGACTAAGGTTGTTCAACGCTTTGCAGAAAGAGGTGAGATGAGGGCAGTTCTCCTTCACGATATTCAAGAGATGACTGGTTGCGTTTTTAAGCACGATTCCGGCTCGATATTACCCTCAGCTAGTAACAAGTTCCTACAATTAGCATCAGCTGGCTCAATTCAAGACATATGCACGTGGTCAGGTTCAGCGTTACCCCCAGGCCCCTTAAATTGGCGGGTGACCTGCTTCTCGACGGATTAGGGAAGGTGGATGACGAAGGCGGTGCATCAGAGTGACCATGCACGGGAACGTAAAAAGTTGAGAATAGGGTATAAGATCAAATAAAATATAACTCTAATCAGTAGAAAATGGTTAAAATGAAAAAAATATTATATCGATCATTGTTACGAAAAAAAAAAAACATTTCACTGCAATGTCTAAAATATGATTGTTTGATTGAAATGCGTTCACCCGATCGCAGAGGCTGACCAGTACGCGGATTTCCCGAGAGCGCAGGAGCGTCAGGAAACCGAAGCAGGATCCAGGGCTGAAGGTCGAGCGACGTCATCGAAAAGCAGAGGCGGGGGTTGCCTGCTGCTGCGGCTGATGGTTAGAAAGTGAGAGCTCGTGTGAGCCGCACTACGAGGAGGCTTGTGTACAAGCTTTATGGTTATCGTTATCGACAGTTATCGACGTGTGCGTGGGGACCTCATTGAAGTATCCAAGTATACTCATGGTTTATACAAGGTCCCAGAAGGATTACTAGCATTCGAAACAAGAACCAACACCAGGGGCCACGGCTATAAACTAAAAAAACTGCGCTGCAACTTCTCCACGCGACAACATTTCTTCTCGCTTCGAATCACCGACATGTGGAACAGCCTCCCCGATGACATACTTTGGGGCTCAAAGTATGAACGCGTTCAAGAACAGACTAGATAAAGCTATGGAAGAATATATGTTCAGATTTGAAATGCCTAGCACCATATCGAACCCGGTGGAAGTCGAGTAGATATTTCAAACTATCGTCAATCATGAAAAGATCCGGTCAAATAGCACGATTTTAGATATTCTGTGAACAAGGCACGAAAAGGAAAAGAATAGGCGAGAGGCCACATCAGGCCTACACTTCAGCGCCTAGATCACTATGTTAATGTTAATGGACCCTTCATTGACTGAGGGCAACTCTCTAGTGAGGGGAGACTTGTATGCACGCAGCGTGGACCCTTTCCCAAGACCCCTTTTACTCAGAGCAGCGTATGTAACACTATTTCAGCTGACTCCCATTTATACTCGATAGTTTCTATATTAAGTATATGAAAGAAATAACATGACTGAGAGAATTGAATCTGAAATTTATCGGAAGACTCTCCATTTTCCACTTCACATGTTGTCAATTACAGCGCTCAAAATTCTGCAGCATATATAGTCGTATGAACCTTTCAGTATCAATAGACTTATGCCACATAAAGCATAATTTTTTATTATTTAACGTTGGAAACACTGTGTATTTAGGAGGTATCTATTCACATTTAATTTTAGAAAATTATGTAATCAAAGTTGAAATTTCGCTGAAGATAACATCAGTAAAATTTTTAACGGCAGTGCTGCAATTATAGAAATTGTTTAATCGTGTAACCCTAATTAAGAGGATTCATCTAACGGGTATCCGCATAAAATAACGTTGTCGGATGCATGTTTTCTGAGAAAGCAGATTGTGCATTACTGCTTCTGGAAATAATATATAAGGCTGTGCAGCTCTCCGTCTTACAATAATATGTGAGGCTGTGCAGCTCTCCTTTTTACAATAATATGTGAGGCTGTGCAGCTCTCCTTTTTACAATAATATGTGAGGCTGTGCAGCTCTCCTTTTNTTCTGGTGGCGGTGCTGGTCATAGACCTGCTGGGGTACTTGTACGCGGTCTACAAAGGTACTGCGAAGAAGTACATTCCCTACAGCCGAAGTCTTGCGCTCACGGCGGCCGAAGCTTGGGAGGATAGAAGTTCCAACTTCATCGGCGAGTTTTACGACCCTTACGCCCGGGGAAGGTGAGTGGCAATGCTGAATGGCGTCTCTTTTTCACTCTACACAACGTCTCTTTTTCACTCAAATCTTGGGTAAAAAATGTAACTACTTCTTCCGCCAAAACTACTGCTTCCTGTAACTACTGCTTCCTGCCAATTGCCCAAATCGATTCCCCACGCCACGCTATAAGCTTCCCCTCGCCCTCAGGTCCGTGGACTCCCTCACGAATGTGCTCGACTCCCTCGCCTCCGCCGCCCGCCGCTGGGGGGAAGATTCTGAACCCACCGCAACCTCACAGGACTTCCCCGCCTCTCTCCCTCCCGTCCCCAGCGCATATCCTGGCAATTTCGCCCACGTCCCCCAGCAGGACATCCACACCCGCCAGCGGCTCGACAAGCCCCTCATCTTCAGCGGCTGGAGCGCGTCTTAAAACTGCCCCCGTGACGCCGCGCTCTGCAAGTGCTATTCGGGAGGCTCCCTGCGAAGTGCTGGACTGAGGACGTCTTCTTCCTGAGTTGCGATGAAACTTCATTAAAATATATTGAATAAAATGCTGGCCTAACGGGCTGCTTTGTTACTGATTAAGAGCATTGGGATCACGAGAATTTGAAGCCTTCACAGAAACATTATTACCGAACCTCTCCATCTTTCATTTTTAAACATTGTTCTTCTCACCATTCACTTCTCAACTTCACTCCGCATCATCATTCTAGATTTTTGCCGCTAACGATATTGCCATCAATTGTTTGCTTATTATGCATTACAATATTTATTTATATTTATTTATGTTGTTTACAAATAAATGATTACTTAGAAAAATTCAGATTATTACTTCCTGCACAATCCAGGCACGTATTAATAACGCTCATCAATTTGATGTCTGATCTGTAGGATAAACTTGCCACCTCGTCATGTGAAGGTGGTTATTAATATTATTATTACGATGCAATTATTGAGGCGTCTGGTTCAACCGATTTGCGAGGCCATATTAAAAGTAGACGCATCAGTTTAATATCGAAAAAACACAAAAAATGATAAGAACGGCTAACAACGACTGTAGTTTATCTCGACCCCTGCTGAAAGAAGACTTCTGCAACCATGCAGTCAACGTTTTCCTATCGAATATGTATGGCCAGGATAGCACTGAAAAATCCCGAGCCGAAAGTTTTTTCTTAGTGGAATTGCATTCAAATAACTTAGTGAAAGAATGACATGTGAACCAACCAAGCCAACCTCATGGTTATATTAAGTTGTAATAACATGGTGGCTGAGGCCTGTTGGTCGTTGGTTTGGTATAAACCACGCTCAGTATGAGAAAGAAATGTATGGAATGTCGAATATACACTTGAAAATCCTTAAAAAAGAAGAATATCTCATTCTCGATGCCTTCATAAGAGCATGAGGACAATCATCAGGATACAGTAGTGATCATATCAGACCACGAGATGGTCGGTGTTCAGCCTTCCCTCTCTCCCACGTGTCCCGCCGAAGTATGACTCAGTTAACATGCGCAAATGCAACTTAACCCTCTACCGCATGACTTGAGTAACCGGAGCAATATTGTCACAAAGGAACTTCCCAAAAAGGATACGTTGCTAGTGAGCGTAAAATGACTTGCATTGATGGTTGCCGCCACGTAAACTTTAAAATGTTCTATGTTGCGTACAAACGTCCTCAGGTTGCCACACTCAATATTTTACGTATAATTTAAGTTGAAAGTTATGTTCCCGGATAGTGACATTCGGCGGAAGAGGATTAGCGTGCTCTGCTTAACGTTGGTAATTCCTATATTTACCACGAGGTGAAAAGGATATTGACCCACCTGGTGAGCACCCACCTGGAGATGTTGAAGGTAATAAAACTTATGAGATATTTATCATTGAATCAATAACGTCACTATTGTTCATGTATTCATGTCTTTTTCTCGTTGAAGCTTTGTTCATTAATTGAATAACCGTTATTTAATGCAACAAGTTTAGTCTGAGTTAAATGCCCATTCGAATAGTCACTTTATGATCCTTTATTTCAACAAATGACCTGTTCTTGTTGTTTGAGTTGCAAGTTTAAGTGCATGACGTTTGGCAGTTATGCGCGATGCTTCGAACATAAACGCCGCTTTGCCAATGATTCTTCAGTAATCTTAAAGTTATGTTCCGCTTTCCAACCATAATTATTATAGTTTTGCAATATTATTATAGTTCTATATTAATGTATTATTGATAATTATTTATCATATCATAGTCAAGTTGGTTAGTTCATTACCAAAGTTTAAAAACTTCACATAATATAGCGTCTGAGTACCGTAACCAGTCCATCGTCTCTCGCAGCCAGTTTGATCCATAGGTAATAAATTATTTTGTGACGGACGTCAAAGCTTGGATATGAATAATTTAAATGTTGAATAATAGGAACGCTGAATGATAAATATAAAATTGATGAAAACTTACATCATACTTGACATACGGCGCTCAAGCAAACTCAGGGACACTTGGGTCCCAGAAGCTGGTGTGGCTTGTCATCAAATCTGCCACACGAAATTAAGCCAGTGGGTAATGTTTATTAGCTCGCGCCTCCTCAAATTCAGCCTTTGTTTTCCCACTAATTTGGACAACGGTGATGCTCCAATACGGTGAAGCTGTAAATCTACGAATTTGGACAACGGTGATGCTCCAATACGGTGAAGCTCTAAATCCACTAATTTGGACAACGGTGATGCTCTAAATTCATGAATTTGGACAACGGTGATGCTCTAATACGTGAACTGAACAAGTACAGTTTATCGTCATCACTCCTGGAACGTTTACCAAGCGTTGGGTAAAAAATTTGCAAGGCAGTTACGTGCGGCACTTAGCGGAGGCAAGCGCGTCCCAAAGTTCTAATCTGGCAAATGATTAAATTCAATCAAAATTTATACCATAAAAAATAAATGATTAGCATTAGAAATTCAGCTTCTTGAAAAACCTAAATAATATTCGATGTTAAACGAAAATTTCCGATTCCCTAACTTTGAATTTAGGGGAGAATCTGCAAGCTTCATCAGTTAAAAAAGAAAAAAATTTTGTTGCAAGGACAGTAGAATTTTTTATGCTAAGACATTTGGTCTTTGAATTGTACTTTTAACAGAGTAGCATGGAAGAAGTATGAATGCTTTGCTTTCTTTTGCTTTAGAATTTATAAGATGGTTACAAACTGCGACAAAATCGAATGACTGATGGTTCCTGTTGACAAACTTTTTAGAACTTATTTGTTAGGATCGTTTAAATTATAAATAAATGTAGAACTGTTTCAAAAATGCAATTGTGAATTTTTAATCTGTTTTAGAATTTGATATATAAAGTTTACGCATAATATGGATACTCGAGGACCCGTAATATGCAACAGCTTTCAAGTCACAATAATAAATTAGTTTTCAATGTGTCGTACAATAGGACAGTTCATACTGTGCCGTACAATAGGACAGTTTATACTGTGCCGTGCAATAGGACAGTTTATGCTGTGCCGTAGGACAGTTTATACTGTGCCGTACAATAGGACAGTTTACACTGTGCCGTACAATAGGACAGTTTATACTGCGCCGTACAATAGGACAGTTTACACTGTGCCGTACAATACGACAGTTTTCATTGTGTCTCAGGTTTAGGTGCAGAGATCACGACTTTTCATTCTATATAATGATACGTAAGTTTCATCTACGAAACAAATCCGGGCCGTATTAAAAGGCAGAAGCATGTCTACGTCTATACAACGGCCGCAATGTAGCGACGACGGCCGCACCAACACATCCGTCTGAGGCGTCGAAGTCCGCACAACGGCCGCGGTGACAAGATATTCGGCCGTCACAAAAAATTATTGTCAATAAAGCAGTTCGTTTCTGAAGCAAACGGAAGCCTGAGGTTCTGCCTAGACTATTACTGCCTGCCTGAACTGCAAGTAATTCAGACTGCAGTTGGTAAGAGGAAAAGCCCGTCTCCGTGACCCGGAACAGCCGCCCCTACACTCCCTCCTCTCTCAGCTCCTCTCACCGCAGTCAGCGTTTCCGCTGCAGCGCTTTATAAGCTCGCGCAGCTCATCTGCTCGGCACTCAACTCACCGCTCTGCACCGAGCAGCACGCGCTACTCAGCACGCTCATACCCGCTCTGCACTCAACTCACCGCTCTGCACCGAGCAGCACGCGCTACTCAGCACGCTCACCACTGCTCTGCACTCAGCTTATCGCTCAACGCACCAATGTAAGTTCCTGAAAAATCCCAATGATTGATAAGATAAATAGTATTTGGTCTTTGTCGTCGTTTCCTGGAAAGTAGGTGCAATTTTACTCAGTTTGTTAGAACAGAGTAACGATAAAATTATCTGAATTTTCTCCAGATTCAACCGATTAATAACTGAATACAAAAGAGAATAGCGTATGCTAGCTCTGTGCATTACTTCGTTACATACAAGTACGTGCTTCTGAACTCTCAGCTGCAGAAAGCATTAATATCTTTGTAGGAATTCTTTTCCAGCCTCCACACGAACGTTCTGACCAAAGTTTTAGCATCACTTGGCGTAAATTAGGATTATCGCGTAAAATTGAAGATGAGTTGTATAAATTTCAAGCGAGAAAATGACTTTCTATATTTCGACAGCTGTTAAACACAAAGATTTATAATTTTTTGTACAGCTCAGCTAAACAATTTATAATTATTGAAACATTTTGAAAACTGCCACTAAAATATGGCTCATGCACAAAAAAAATTCTGTAATATGTTGTACCCGAACTGTTTTAATCATTATTCTGTCTTTCTTCTGTCTAGTCAGGATGGCCATCCTAGACAGCTTCCCGTCAACGACAGGCGAGCTTTTCACGACCGTCAACGACGGCATCCGACGGTATCCGCCGCCCGCCGCTGGGGGGAAGATTCTGAACCCACCGCATCCTCACAGGACTTCCCCGCCTCTCTCCCTCCCGTCCCCAACGCGTATCCTGGCAATTTCGCCCACGTCCCCCAGCAGGACATCCACACCCGCCAGCGGATCGACAAGCCCCTCATATTCAGCCAGTAACTCAGGAGCTCGTTTATTCCATCGCTTAATGTGGTGGTTCACTGCAAGAGGTTTCTCCAGGCAGGTCACAAGAAAGTCATGTTCATTTTTGGCCAAAACTTCAGCTTCATCGCCGGAGGGCAGGAATATTGGGAATATCAACGCGGTTGTGATACTTCTTCATCACAAGCCTTCATATCATCCTTATGATCATTCCTTCATCACCAATGCATCTTTCCAACAGTCACAAACTTGCCATATATTTGTTGTGTACATAATAAAATGTTTATTTTATGCATTATTCGTACAAATAAATAAAACTCAAAAAATGAAAAGGCAGAAGCATGGTGTTAGGGTTTTAATAAAAGACATGTTATTTTTTAAATCTTAGGTTTAGAGACAACCTTACTGTTGACGTCCGCACTCTATATAGGTACGCGTTGTTAAAGTTTATGTTTGGTTCGGAGTCGTGAGGGCCGGTGGTATGTGTACTGCGTTTTTTAATGTAGGCTGTTAATGTGTGACCGTTAATAGTACCCTGTCCTATTGAGAATAGGTTCAACTTCTTTATGGTTTTAATATTAATGCGTTGTATATATCTTATAATTGTTAGTTATCCGTCAATTATTTTAGCACTCGATTGATCAGTTTTCGTATTTTTGCACACAGGAAAGTTTAGGGCTCAAACTTGGAACATTAAATCCTGAATACAATTGGACTTTGACTTCCT